GCCTCGGTGTGGTTCTACATCACTATCCTCATTAAGATGCCTTAAACTAGGCCTAAGAATGCCTAGGATGAAATGAGGATGCAAAGATGCACTTTAAAAGCATTTTCAGAAAACAGGGGTCACGCTCGAGCGTAGGTTGCTCTGCTCGAGCGGACATGCAGACAAAGGTTTACGCTCGAGCGTAGACTTACCTGTTCGAGCGTTCTGCAAAACAATCAAAAGTGCTGGATAGGTGAAATTCACGCTCGATTGGGCGCTCGACACCCGCTCGAGCGTAATACACAAGGTCTCGCTCAAGCTGACTTAAAAACAGAACAAAATGCTGGGAGCACGATTTCCACGCTCGAGCGCCAGTCACCCCGTTCGAGCGTGAGTTCAAAATCTGGAATTCCCAGATTTGAACCTCAAGCTCAAATTCAACCTTAGATGCATCAAAACCATACTATTTGGGCCAATTTTCCAGAAAACATTCAAAAACTCAAAGTTTAACATGATTCAAAGCTCAAATGTAAAATCAAAGCCCCAAAGGAAGACCAATTGAGCCCAAATTGAAAATAAATTTCATGAATATGAAGAACATGCAAACATGCATGAATTAAACCAATTCAACGCTTCCAACACTTGCTCTAATTAGCCAATTCTTACAAAATCAAGATGAAATCATGGTCTACTCTCAAAACATGGACATGCATGTGAGGAATTATGAACTACAACCTCATAACTTCAATATATATATACATGCATGCAACAATTAAGCTTCAACACAACAATTTGAGCCATAAATTGGCTCTAGTCTTCAACTTTGCTCTAAACGATGCAAGAATCAATTTAAACACAAGAATGAGAAGATGAATTTCTACTTTAAGTCTTGTATTCAAGTACAGAAACTCAATTGCACAAATCCTTAACAATTTCTTCAAGTTCTCTAGCCAATTCTCTAAGTTGAACTCAATTCCTCACACTCCCTCACTCTAGTCGGCTATGGGACTCAAAATGGCTGAAGAAGTATGTTTGAAGAAGGCTCAAATGTGTTTAGATAGTGGGCCACTAGTGTGGCATTTTGGTGAATTAAGTCAATTGTTGCAATTTATCAACGTTTAATCTAATTTAAGCATACCAAATCACATTTCGGATAAATACACCATAAAATCACATAAATTCTATTGATCATAAATCATCAATCAATTTCGGATTCGGCCACCAATAAGGCCTTCAATTTGCAGTTTAAAGCATAAAACATGAACAGATAATTAAACAGTCAAACAGATAGAGTTGTAATTTAACTAATATACTCAATCAATTCGGCTTCAGTTTTCAGTCAGTCAGTCAATTAACATATTTAGCCTCAGTTTAACAGTAATCAATGGCTTATCAGTAAACAGTGGTGAGGGCTATTACAATGTCTGGGTTAAAAATCAATTTCCATAAGAGTATGATGTGTGGGGTTGGTGTTAATGATGAGGTTATTAATGATTTTATCTCAGTTCTGCACTAGCACAGCCAAAAACTTCCTATTACTTATATGGGCATTCCTCTTGGAGCAAATCCAAGAAGCAAGAGTACTTGTAAACCAGTGATTGAGAAAGTAAAGAAGAAATTGGCTTCATGGAAAAGAAAAATGCTCTCTTTTGCTGGCAGACTCACACTGATTAAAGCAGTTATATCCAGCTTACCATCCTATTTCCTATCAATTTTCAAATTACCTGTGGGTGTGGCTAAGCAACTAGAGAGGATGCAGGCAGCACTTCTGTGAGGTGATTCTGATACAAAGAGGAAACTTCACATGGTTAATTGGAGAGAGATATTAGCAAATATTGAGCAATGGGGTTTAGGGGTTAGAAATCTTGCAGAAGTCAATGACTGTCTTTTGCTCAAATGGTGGTGGAGGTTTGGGTTAGAGGTCAGAGCTTTATGGAAACAGATTGTGTGTTGTAAGTATGGTGTGGTTGGGGGCAGTTGGATTCCACTAATGTTTCAATGTTCAGGGTTTGGAGTGATATTCTTCAACTTGTTCATAAAAGACCTACTCCTGTTGAATTTTACCTATCAAACCTTAAACTATCAGTAGGGAATGAGGATAGAATTCATCTTTGGGAGGACAAGTGGTTGAATAATTTATACCTGAAGGAGGAGTTTCCTAGATTGTATAGCTTATTAGAGGAGAAAGGTAACACTGTTTAGCAGATTTACCAGAGGAGGGGTCAACCAAATGAGTGGAATTTAATTTTCAGAAGACCATTGCTAGCATGGGAGGAAGATGAGGTACTAAGATTGCATGAGTTGCTCAGGGAAACACCTACTCTTTCTTTGGAGTCTAAGGACTCATGTCAGTGGGTGGCCAATCCATAAGGATCTTTTACAGTAGCAGCAACATGGAAGTGGTGGATGTATTCAAAAGGTCCGAATCTCAATGTTACTAAGGAATTATGGATAAATTTTGCTCCATCTAAGGTAAAATTCTGTGGGTGGTTAGTTTGGAGAGGTAGGCTTAAAACTGCAGCTGTTCTAAAAAATTTAGGAGTGTTAAATGAGGACTCAGATTCATTGTGCCTGTTTTGCAAATCAGAGGAGGAGTCAGTTCATCATCTTATGTTGTTTTGTCCATTTGTTTGGAAAGTATGGTTTGATATGATGCAATGGTGGGGTCTGGTGTGGGTTTTACCCGGTTTAGTTAAGGATTTATTGCTTTGGTGGTCAGGAGTCAAATTCAGCAAGATAGTCCTCAGAATGTGGAAAGTAATACCTTTAGTTGTTATGTGGTCATTATGGAAAGCTAGGAATGAATGTCTTTTTAGTGGCAAACCGGTTGAGTGGAATGAATTAGCAGAGTTGGTGAATGTAAGGGTAGCACTTTGGAGTAAATTGAATATTAAGGGGATGCACTACTCAGTGCAGCAGATAGTTACTAATTTGCATCAGATCAAGGCTTGTGTTGGGAGGAGAAGGTTGCAACTTGGTTGATATAAGATGGTTGTCCTAGTTAATGGTTGGGAGCCTTGCTACCACTGCTACTCCGGGAGTGTTTGTGGTGTTAGTGTTTTCTTTTTATTTACAAGCTCTTTCAGCATTTAAGATTTTGCTGTTGATAAGGTAGAGGTGCTGTTGATTTTTCCTGCTGTTTGTGTTGGTTGCTGTTGCTTTTTACTGCTGTGTGAGTTCTGTTCTGCGGGTGTTCTGTTTTTGTTCTGTTGTTTTGCTGCTTTAGTTGTGTTGGTTGATAGTTGTTTCTAGGTTGAAGTGTGCTGATGTTGTTGGTTGTTTCTAGTTTGCTAATGTTGATGCTTGAGTTGCTGCTGTTATTTTTTGCTAGGTGGTGATTATAGTTGATAGGGTTGATTTGTCTCTAGTTTGATCCTATAGGTTGCAATTTTTAGGGTGCTTTGAGTTTTACCTGTTTGTTTGCTCTGTTTGTTGGTTACTCACTAATTTCGAGCTTGGAGTTTGTGCTAGCAAATGATTTGGTGCCCATCTTGGTGCCAACCTGGTTGGGATCTTGATATGTCATTGTGATGCTTGTTGCACCCTCCTCTTTATTGATGTTCTTTTCCATACTCTGTATGTTTTCTATCAATAAAGTTTCTTTTTGCTGATCAAAAAAGAAGTAGACAATATTTGTGTTTCTAAAGAATGAACCCAAAAAAAATTAAAAAAATATGAATGCCAAATAAGGTGCATAAGCAAATTGAAGTGTGATTTATAAAAGGCAATAAATAATAAATGGCATATGAACAGAAACAAACAAGAATAAGAACAAATAGAAGAATATAATTAACTCTAAATAATATAGAAATATAATAAATAATACAGATAACAAATAGAATAGATCAATATTTAATAAAACTTTTTTTGGAAACTTTTTTTTTTTATTTTTTTATTTTGTAATGTTAATACTACAACATATAAGAGTTTTAGAAACCATATTTTTTCTTTCTAAAAGTATAAATTTTGTTGCAAAAAATATTTAAACACTAATTTCAGTTGTTGCGAAGATAGTCGCTAAAAAATCGTTTCGAAAAGTTCAAAAATAAGCTTTTATGAACAAATTTTTAGAAATATCAATAATAAATGCACTTTTAGAGACAAAGGAACTTGGTCCTAAAAAGGTTTGCTTTTTGAGACAAAATTTTTTATCATAAAAGGTTAGTGATTCATGTTCATCACTAAATATCCAATTTTGTCACTAAAACTAAAATATTAACATTTTTTGCAACAAAAATATTTTGTCCCTAAAAAGTAATTTTGTCTATAAATTTTTGTCTCTAAAATTTTAATTTCTTGTAGTGCAAATAATCTTTAATTTCGCGAATCTTTATAATTTTGAGAGTATATATAAACTATTGAAATTTTGAAGGTACAAAATACTCTAATTTAAATTATCTTGCTAATTACTAAGAAAAAAAAAATTATTGACATATTGAGTGTTTTTTGATTGCTTTATCTTTCTAATTTTTTTATATGTCTTTTCATAATAAATAAAAAAAATCAATTTATAAATCATATCTAAAACAATCCTAACCCTAATCCTAATATAATGTACATAATTAAATAGAAGATGAATACAGATTGGTTTTGGGATTTTTGAAAGAATTTGACAGACTTTTTGGTAGTTGGAAGGGATAGAAGAGGCTCTTGCCAAAATTGCCTTCCAGAGAGAGGTGTCGGATAATATCTGTGCTATGTCCCAGTTATTGTGCAAAACAGAGAAAAAAAACATATAAAATAAAACAAAAAATATTTATTTGGCTCAGCATGATATTAAGAGATTCACAAATAATATATATATATATATATATTTCAAAAATCTATACTTACCCATAATTCAATACTTTATTTTAAGAAAATTATGAGGCATGAACACTCCTTTTGGTCGAAAATTAGTTACACCAAGAGCCCAAAACTCTACCAAAATCTGGGGAATGAAAATTAAACGACCGCAATAACGTTCAAGCATACTCGTGTATAGATAAATAACAATGTCATACATAAATGCAATCACAAAAACTCATAAACATTTTATACTGGTGGTGGTGGTTAGTGCAGTTTATTGTAAGTTAAAAGTTGATAATCAGAAAACAGAAATCAAAATCATCCCTTCCACAGTTTCTAAATAATCAGCTTTTCGCTTATTTAAGCTATTTCTGTCTAAAAAGCTATAAGCAGAAATTGCACCAAACAATCTGACACAGATTTCAAAATTAAAATAAACTATAATCACCCCCCTATAATCCACGCTAAACACCCCCACTATGTACAATTATTTCTATACGTCTATGCTTTTATTTTGCAAGAGAGGAACTTCTTCGGAAGATGAATTAATCCTACAGATAAAGCTGTTTTCGATAATGTCAACTTCTTTGGCTTTTCCCCACATCACAGAATAGAGACCAAGAGCTATTATGATTGCTCCAATTACACTGTAAATACCATTAAAAATAAAAAAAACATGTTTGTTAGTTCTTATGATTTTCATGTTTTACCAAATTTATCTAATTTCATTTTTTTTTTGTTTTCATCAGTTTCATTTAGAAGAACTTAAAAAATGAAGAAGAGGAACTTCTTCGGAAGATGAATTAATCCTACAGATAAAGCTGTTTTCGATAATCTCAACTTCTTTGGCTTTTCCCCACATCACAGAATAGAGACCAAGAGCTATTATGATTGCTCCAATTACACTGTAAATATCATTAAAAATAAAAAAACATGTTTGTTAGTTCTTATGATTTTCATGTTTTACCAAATTTATCTAATTTCATTTTTTTTTGTTTTCATCAGTTTCATTTAGAAGAACTTAAAAAATGAAGAAAGTGACCTTCCAACATGGAGAGTATCCTTTAAAAAGGTAACTCCCATGAAAACTGCAAAGACCATCCCCAGTGGTCTAAACGTCGTAACAAAGACAGGACCCTTTGTGCGACAAGCCCATGCATGAATCACGCTCCGAATTGTAACCATAAGAAATGCCTATAGATTAATTCACCATTATATCAAATTGTTAGTTTTTATTACAAAAATTTCATATAGACATAAATGCTAATATTAGACACAACCATAGACAAAATGGATTTATTTTTATGCTTACCGAGTAGACAATAGTTACCAACTCCACATCAGGTCTTAGTGTCCAAGCTTTTGGATCACTTTCTACAATCAAAGCGATTATAGCCGATAGGATTGCCACAAAGATACACGCAATAAGTGTTACCACCATCTCTGCAGGGTAGTCCTTAATTATCCACGTCTGAGGACATCGAAAATGATTAAAATTCAAATATATTTACTTATTCTTTTTTATTTTTTTGTTCTGTTGTAGACAAAGTTCAAAAGACTTTTGACAAGGTCTACCTGAACAATGTATAGTACTGAAATCACAAAGCTAGATGTTGCAAGGAGAAAGCCCCCGATGATCCAATTTGATAGTGGCGATTCAGAGGGCGAGTGAAGGATGGGAAGAGATTGAGAGAACATGATTGGCGGCCCTTGGTAAAAGATCACAATGTATGCCCCTACGATCGATACTATGGTGCCAATGGACTTGGCTTGGCTGCTCTGAACTTTTAAATCTAGTTTTTCCATCCTGAAAAAATACCCATTTGATTTAACATGAATTAGATAAAATACATGAAAATTTTTCTAGTTAAATTCTAAAAATGATAGTAGAATCAAACGGTACACAATTAAATTCATATTTTAATTGTTTAATCATGTTTTAAATCTACGGCAGAGTCAAAATAATAATAATAATAATAATAATAATAATAATAATAATAATTACATCCATTATAACAAAATTGAATTTTTATAACTTGCAATACATGCCGTAAACTCTTTCACGGCATGCACACATATGCCGTTATATAACATGCCGTGGAAAGTTGAGCATCATCTACGACATGCAGGTAAAATCGTACGAAATAATAAATTAAACATTATTGATATACTTTGTATGTCGTATATAATTTTTTACTACATTTTTGTCATGCCATAAATCATCATACTTTCTATGACATAATTTTACATGTTGTAGAAGGTTATTTTTAATATATTTATGACATACTTTGTATGCCGTATATAATATTTTATGACATTTTCTTGCATGTCATAAATCATCACACTTTTCACGACATAATTGTGTATGCCGTAAAATGTCATTTTTAATATATTTGTGACATACTTCGTATGTAATATATAATCTTTTATGGCATTTTCTTGCATGTCATAAATCATCACACTTTTCACGACATAATTGTGTATGCCGTAAAATGTCATTTTTAATATATTTGTGACATACTTCGTATGTAATATATAATCTTTTATGGCATTTTCTTGCATGTCATAAATCATTACACTTTTCATAAGATAATTTTATATGCCGTAGAAAATTATTTTTAATATATATATATATATATAGAGAGAGAGAGAGAGAGAGAAAGAGAGAGAGAGCAAATTCAAAGTTTATTATATGAGTAAACTCAATATATGAACACATGATATTATTAAAACACCCATTTTAGTACTTGAAAAGCAAATTACAAGATCAAATAGCAAATTATATGTACAAATGAAAGCAAAAAGATTATACACAACACAAGCCAGTCAAGTCTAATTCATTATTAGGAGTACTAGAGAAAACTAAAGAATCAATTAACTTGGCCACTACAGAAAGTCCCTACCCCAATACCAATGGTAGGGATTCGAAGAGCAGATGTTGTAACAATAGCAGCAGTAATAGGAGCACACATTTCATAACAACAGAAAAGCACCCAGTTTCCTACAAAGCCAGGACAAACTCAACAACCTGCAAAAACCAAGCAAATTTAGCATCACAATGCTAAAATAAATTATGCAGATTTGCGTGTGAGCATAGTTGATTTTATATGAAACATAATAGACTTGATTCTTTTATGCCTATGTAACATGATAAAACATAGCTCATTAAACTCTAGCAGCATCCATCATATGGACTCTGCAGTTATGCAAGTAATAGCAATGAGGTCCACCAATGCCCTAAATACATGCCAAACTAGAATTCCACCAAAAAAAAGAAAAGAAACAACCATACACTACAAGAAAAGTGGGTTTATGAGACGGAACTATTTGCGACGGCACACTTGCCGTCTCAAAAAGTCACTTTTTGCGACGGCAGGAAATGCCGTCTCAAAAAAGCAGTGTATTTGCGACGGCACCATTTGCCGTCTCAAAAAAGAAGAGCATTTGCGACGGCACTATTTGCCGCCTCAAAAAATGAGAGCATTTGCGACGGTATTGAATTATTGTATTTTTTTTTTGAATTTTTGGTATTTAGTGAATTTTGAAAAGATTTTTTTACAAATTTTTAAATTTTTAGGTGCATTTATGTTAGGTGTGTCTAAAAATTTAAAAAAATACTT